ATACTACTGGTCCGGTGGGGGAGCCAGCTGGTTGCAGAGAAATGGAAGCCTGGGACCAGGACGGTCAACTGTCCATCTGCTCCTGTCACTGACATGACCTGGCTGCATCGTGAATAAATCACTTGACTTCTCTGGGGTCATCTTCGCATTCCATCCCACCGGCCCCATGGGGCTGCAGTGAATGTCAAGGGGAACAGCTGACGTAGAAGGATTTGGACAATGACAATATCATCTGTAAAATGTCTCGTGTCATTGCCTAGAGGGTTAAATGTGAATAAAATCATTGAACTCCAGTTCCTCCAAGCTTTTCTGTCCTTCAAGGCCCAGCATCAATGCCACCTTCTCCTGGAAGCCTCCCTGATTCCCATCCTGAAAGCACCTCTATCCTCCAAACCTCACAGCCCTCTCTCTATATACTATGGGTATTTATGTACACGTCGTATCCTCACCTCCTACAAAGTTTTATGCTCTGATAAGCAGAATCTGTTTCATACATCTATGCACACACCAGATGCAAAGCACATTTCCGCTCAAAATGAGTGTGGGGTGCATGAATGGACGAGTGAGTAGATGGAAATGGCAGAATTAGAGCAATGGATAAAGAGATGGACAGACAGGGGGTCAAGGTCTGAAGAAAAAACAGAGGAAGAGAAGAAAGAATGAAGAGAAGAGAAAAAGAACCCATGGAAGGCGGATGATGGACGGACCAGTGATGGCATATGGAGTTGGCTACAGATAGATGGAGGTGGGTAGATTGGATGGATCGGTAGTTTGTGGAACAGTGTGGTTGAAGAAAGGAAGAAAGGAGGAAGGAGGGAGAGAAGGAAGTCATACGGGAGGTGGATGAGTAATATATGGCCAGATAAAGGCATAGGCACGGATAGATGGACAGAGCTTACAAAAAGGCCTCGCTTCTCTGGGCCTGAGCAATATTTACACATCAGCAAGTACCTCAAATCTCTTAATCTGCACTTTCTGGAACTCCGTCTTATTCTCCAGGTCACAGATGATTGCCTCTTGCCTGCTGACAATGGCCCGGTCCACAGTGGACTGCTCCAGGTACTCGATGCGCAGCTGGGCCGCCTGCAGCTGGGGACAGATGCAAGGGGTCCGTTGGCCACCTGTTGGCCCTGAGCCACACGATGGAAACACACATAGGCCTCAGCCCCAGGCCCCTTCACAGCTTCCTTCTCGGCTCAGGGGCTGTCTGGTGCGTGCACAGGAAGCACTGCCGGTTCCAATCTGAGGACCCTCAGACCCGACCCGGCCCCTGGGTCTTAGGGCCTAGGAGGTGACATTTCCTGGGCATTCTGCCTCCAAAACAGGTCTTCTGGTCAGTGCTTCTCTTACCTCCTTGCCCTGCTCTGCTAGGGGAGCAAAGCCAGGCTGTGAGCAGCAAGCTTCAGCATCAAAGGATACAACCAAAGTGGGTTTGGGAGCCAAGGCCTATATCCGAGCTCAAAACCTGCCTCCACCCCTTCCCAGCTGGATGGGCCCAGGCACGTCAGCTCCCTTCCCTGAACCTCACTGCTCTGTTTTGTGTGCGAGGACTGAGGAGGTGAGCGCCTGGTATGTCATTAGCCCCAGCAACTGGCCCCCGCTGCTGTCCTCTTGTACTTGTTGTTACTCGGTGCCCATGGACACTGGCTTGACACTCAGTCCCTCTGACAGTCACTCTAAGCAGGCACGTGCGACAGTTCTGGGAGAGCTTTGAGAATTTCATGGATAAGAGCGATCCACCAAGTAATGAAGGAAATCCAGGGGAGTTTGGAGGAACCATGACTCAGAGGAAGATTTCACGAAGGATGATGATCCTGCCTAGACCAGAGCATCCCATCTCCTTGGAGCCATTTCTCAGCAGGAGAAAACCCTTCACTGAAATGTTGATGCGTCTCATGGCACAGGCATCTCGGGATGCTGAACGGGCACAGGGAAGAGTGAGTGTGTGTGTGTGTGTGTGTGTGTGTGTGTGTGTGTGTGTGTGTCCGTCTAAGATGGCTCTCAGTTCATTTGGCGCAAGACTGAAGCTGAATGAACGACAGTTCCCAGGGCCCAGAGTGTGAGGTCCCAGAGGGAGCCCTCCTCTTCCTCCCCCACAACAGGGCGGCGCCCAGCACGTACTTGTTCCTGCAGCTTGTGCTTCTCCTTCTTGGCTTCCTCCAGCTGCAGCTGCAGTTCCTGGATCTGCCCAATGTCAGCAGCAGACTGGGGAGACAAAGAGATGCCACTTGAGAGCACAGGCTTTTCGGGGACACTGCCCCTGGCAATCCCTTCTTCCCCCGGTTGGGGGACACTGAGACCCACAGATGTCTAAATTTCTCAGAGTCTCTATGACAGTAGCTGGTTCCAAAGGGGTGCCTCTCACATCCTCCCCAGCATCCTTCATCTCAGCGTTCACCAAGTCACTCCCATTAGATAAGCCCGGAGCTTTGGTCAACTGTCTATAATGTTATTATGCACCCCTGAGAGCCAAGGCAGAAACGGGCCGGTCACATTACTAGGACCAGATTCTGAGGGGAGAGAACTATTCTGAATGTCAGGTAACTAGGATTCCAGACCCGGATACTGGCCTTGACAAGCCCCAGAACCTCTCTGCACCTCAGTATCCCCATCTGTAAAATGGGCTGATCGTCTCTGCTTAGCCCTTCTACAATGCAATGCATTTGTTCAGAGATTAAATGAGGCAATGAAGAATAAAGTTTCTTTTAAAAAAAAAAAGTAGAACCAAACTGTGAAGTGTGATTATCTCCATTTAGAAGGATTCCAGAGAGCAGAAGGACCCCTCAATTTCTATTTTCCACATGTGTTTATCATTGCAGTAATTTACAATGGGCATATGAATATGCTGCTTTTGTAATTGAACGAATAAAGAAACTTCCATTTTGAACAAAAGTGTAATTAACAATGCAGAAGATGGCCTAGGCTATTTCTGTGGCAGTTGTTATCATGTTGATGATATAATTGATTTTTTTTTGTTGTTATAATTATTCCTTGTTTAGCAGAAATTCCTTCAGATCCAATCTCTGTAGGGTGCATTTGAAGCCTGGCAGGCATTCTACCCTGGATCTCCTCTGGGGGTGCCACGTGGGGGAGATGCTCACTGCTCTTGGAGGGAGCTGTTGTGAAGTTATGCAAATCAGATCAGCTATGCAGATCAGAAATCTGCCAGGGGTCCTCATCACATCCCTCCACTCCACCCGAAGCTTCTGGCCTGGCCCGTGTGGCTCAGTGATTGAGCACTGACCCATGAACCAGGAAGTCACTGGTTCGAATCCCAGTCAGGGCACATGCCCAGGTTGCGGGCTTGATCCCCAGTAGGGGGCGTGCAGGAGGCAGCTGATCAATGATTCTCTCTCATCATTGATGTTTCTCTCTCTTTCTCCCTCTCGCTACCTCTCTGGAATCAATAAAAATATATTTTAAAAAAATAATGTAATGCACACTGAAGGCAAATTCTCCCACTTAGGTCTGTTACCTGAGCAATGAGGTCCTTGTGCTTCTGCATGAGGTCATTCAGGTCATCCTGGTCCTCGTCAATGCGCTTTAGGAGGTTGGCTCTCTCAAACTGCAGCCGGTACAGCTGCTCATCCACCTGGCAGGAGGTGGGACAGCGGTCAGGGTGAGGCAGAATGGCGGGTGGGAGGGGACTGATGCACAGTAAAGAGGGGATTGCCTATGGGTGTGTCAGGTGAGTGGCCATGGGTGTGTTAATGCATACTGTGGGCATGATAGCTCCGTGTGTGTGTGTGTGTGTGTGTGTGTGTGTGTGTGTGTGTAAGGGGGTTAGGGGGGAGGGGGACAGGTTCCTCTTAATCTAGTGCAAATAAAATCTGGGACCAAGAGACCAGTAGGGATCTTGAGACAAGCTTTTGCTTATAAATCTCTAGTTATACCTAAACTTTAGGATTTTACACAGAAAGTATAAATTTAAACCAACCCTGTACACCCAGAGAGGCGACTTAGAAAACCATGCCAAATTTTCACCAACATTAATAGATCCATAACATATGTTCATTTGTCACCATTCAGAGGGTCCATAGTAGGTGGCAGGGTCCATAGTAGGTGGCAGGGTCCCTTACAGTGGTGAGCTAAGTGGGCCCATGAGAATTGCCTTTGTCTCCACTTATAAGAATCGGCATGCAATAGCCCAATGATAATGACCAAGGCCCCTCCTATGTTGGTGAGTGTACAGTAGGACTACAACAGTAGCCAGGGCACTGCCTACAGTGGTGAGCATGCTCTGGGTGCACAACAGAAAGCTGTGTTCCCACTTAGGGTACTGAGCCAATAACAGGCTCATATCGGATGCATCCCCACAGTACTGAGCACACATCAGGTCTACAATTTGCCTGCCTTTGCAGAGTGAACACACAGTTGACCCTCATATATGCCCTTGTGCCTTTATAATGCTCAGCTCCTAGTCAGATGCCTGCACTTTCAGAGTGTTAAACATCCAGTAGGTCTACAATGGATGTCTATAGGTGGTACCCAGTAAGCCCACAATAAGTGCCCTTTCCTTCTTATAGTGCTGAGCACACAGTAGGTCCAAGCTAGCTCAGAGGCCTATGCTAGTCTGGGTCCCCAGAGCTTCAGAAAGGAGCAGGTACCAGGCTCTTGCTCCGGGTCATGTTCTCCAGCTCGCTGTGCATGCTCTCCAGGTCTGCAGTCAGCGCCTTCTGGGTCTTCAGGGCATCCTCACACTTGGCTTCACTCTGCTCCAGCTGGACCAGGCAAGAGGGCGAGAAGAAAAGAGAAGAGACCTCGTGACGCTGCCCTTTGACTAGCCTTCCCCTCCAGCCCAGCCCAGCCCCTCTCAGGCAGCAGAACCATTTACAGGCCACCTTCGTGTCTTCACAACTGTTCATCAACCTACGACTGGCGAAGCACCAGTGTCTGCATTTGAGGCAGCCCAGTTCTGAGCCCACTCAAAACTGAATAGGCACTGCCCCAGGAAATAAGGCCAGGCCACCCCAGCTTCAGTGCCAGGAGCTAGTCAATTCCCTTCAACAAATATTTGTTGACACCGCTGGAGTGCCAGGCACAGAGCATACAGGAAACTGTCACCTGATCCTGTGTCCTCCGGGGAAACAGGCAGGAACAGGTAATGAATACAGTTAAAAGGATGAGGGCATGGGATGCTTGGGAATATGGGATGGAGGTCAGGGAAGGCTTCCTGGAGGAGGTGCTTGTAGACAGTTCTCAACCAGAGTTGAGAACCCCTTTTCAAATGGTATGCAAACTATTCCGCAGGTGAGCATTTTCCTGGGCCCATGACTTTCACTAGATTCTCAAAGGTTAAGGGCCACCTACTTAAAGTTTCTCTTTCTCACCCCCTTTTCATCCTTCCACCCACCTGCACACAGTAGGCCTGCTACCCTAGCAAAGTGGGGCCATCAGGAAGGTACCATTGCCCACGTGGCTCTAGACAACAGACAGTCCCCACTGGAAAAAGCCATGCCTGTGTACAAACCCTAAGTCTACTCTGTAATGGGCAGTTTCCCCTTGATTTCTGAACCCTAAAATCTCTGAGCAAAAAACGCCCTTAGAAATCACCTAAGGAAAGCACTTAGGGCTCAGAGAGGGGCGGTGCCTTGCCCGAAGTCACAGAGCTGCAAGGAGCAAAGACAACACTTGCACTGTCCAGACCAGTGCACTTTCTCAACTGCCAGCACATTGTCCCCTGGGAACAGTTAATGATGTTTACAT